TGCGGCGTGACGGGAACTGTAGTTCCGCCCCCCGGCCGCCCGGACCGAGGCGACCGAGGGTGAGGGGGGCCCTCGAACAAAGCAGGCAATCCCGCAGGCACTGTGGCGTATCGCAGAGCCACGGAATCATTTAGGTTCGAAAAGACTTCTGAGAGCATCGAATCCAAGCTATGGCCGAGCACTACAACCAGACCATGGCACTGAGTGGCCATGTCCAGTCTTTCCTTGAACACCTCCAGCGACGGTGATTCCACCACATCCCTGGACAGTCCATTGCAATATCTAATCACCCTTTCTGTGAAGAAATTCCACCTAATGTCCAACCTGAACCTGGCATAGCTTAAGACTGTGTCCTCTTGTCGTGTCACTTGTGACTTGGGAGAAGAGGCTGGTCCTCACCTGGCTACAACCTCCTTTCAGGTAATTCTAGTCATCAATAAAGTTTCCTCTGAGCCTCCTGCCCCAGGCTAAACAATCCCAGCTCCCTCAGCCACTCCTCACAGGACTTGTGCTCCAGACCCTTCCCCAGCTATGTTGTCCTTCTCTGAACACACTCCTGCACCTCAATGTCCTTCCTGAATTGAGGGGTCCAGAACTGGACAGAGCACTCAAGTTGTGGCCTCACCACTGCCAAGTGCAGCAGAAGAATCCTTATTGTCACCATTAGCTGCTGAACTAATACACATTTCAGCCATATATGTAACAGCAAAACTTCTGCTCTCTCCTAGTGCTATGTAGCTTTGGAGTAAGTCTGTGAAGGCTCCCAGCTGTGGAGGAACCGATGTATCAGGTAATAAAGCATGTTAGGCCTGGAGGGATCTTAGAGACAGAAATATGAGTGTTTCCAAATACTACTTTGCCCTCAGCCTTTAGCCAAAATCATATTGTTCTCTATCCCACATGCTTCTCCAGGGGGAAAAAAGTGGATGTGTTGTTGGTCTGATAGATGGGTGTGAGTCATCTGTGATAAACTTTTACCTCATATGTGTATTTCTACTGACTCTTTTAGCTGTATTGAATAATAAATTACCAAGGAAAGACTGAGAACCAATCTTGTCATGGTCTGCAAACTTCCTGAGGAGGGTAAGTAGAGGGGCAAGTATTGATCTCTTTTCTCTGACATCCAGTGATAGGACCCAAGCAAACAGTGGGAAGCTGGGGTAGGGGTTTAGGTTGAGTATTAGGAAGAGGTACTTCACCCAGAGAGTTGTTGGGCATTGGAACAGGCTTCCTAGGGAAGTGGTCACAGCACCAATCCTACCAAAGTTCAAGAAGCATTGGGACAAAGCACATGGTGTGATTTTTGGGGCTGTCCTGTGCAGGGCCAGGAGTTGGACTTAGTGGGTCCCTTCCAGCTCAGCATATTCTATGATTCTATGACAATACTCTTGTCCCTGTACCAGAACAGCATCCCCCTCTCTTTATTAAAATCAACCATGTATCAAGACCTTTTGAGCTTTTCATTACAGCACATTTCTTCGTTTGTACCTCTTCCAAATTTCTTGCTAGGGGTTAGCTGTCAATGAAATGCTCTTTCAATTAGAGGCTATAAAAGAAGAAAAGTTGGATCAGCTCTGTTGCCTTTTGAGCAATCATTGCTGAAGCAGTCTGAATTGCTACCTGCTGTTTTCCTTTTAGTTTAAAAGCACGGTTTTCATTTACTCCATTTACTCCACTGCCAGTGTGCTATCAAATTAAATCATAACGAAAGGGAAAAAAGCCCCGAAACAACAACCAAAACCAACATGTCTAAAATCTAATCTGCTGGCACTAGTATCTTTATTTCTACTGCTAGCACTTCCTAATGTGGAGAAAGCCCTCATCTCATTGTTGGAGCCCAGTGACAAAGTGTATTGTTTATGCTTGCTTTAGGCATTCAGAGACCAGAGTTGATAATATCTGGGCTAGGTTTTGAGGGATTGAGGAGGGGATAGTTCTATAAAATTGAGTAGTGAGTGACTGGAATCTAAATGCTTAATGAAATAAAGAACTGAATATTATGCACAATGTACATCCTGAATATGAGCACTTCAGGACAATTTTGAGAGTCTGGACAGAAAGGTTAAAGTATTATGCTTAATGTAAAATATAAAAAAAATACAGATAAATTATAATTTATATAGATTTTCTCAGAAAGCTGACAGTTCTTCAACAGTCTAGAAGGCTATGATCCATCAGTCTGCAGCATACTGTGAGGCTGTGTGTGTACTTCTGTATTTTACATAGAATTGCCATTGTCTCACTGGCAGCCTGCAATGTGAAATTTAACATACATTTACACCATGAACTAAACTGTACTCTACTTAGACAGATCAAGTTTACACAAACTTGAAAAAAAGCCAGAATATAAACACATATTCATCCTGAAGAATCCTCAGATGCATTGCAGAAGTACATTGGGCAGATCTGCTGTGCCACTTTTAATTTTACAGAACAGAATAAAGTAAAATAGACTATTTCAGTTGGAAGGGAACTACAACAACCATCTAGTCCAACTGCCTGATGAATTTAGGGCTGATTAATTTAAACTGCTTCTGAAGTAAGAAATGACTAATCATTTGAAGGAAACCATTGCAGACAATGGAGAAGAAAGGGCAAGAAAGAACTTTTCTACTGTTAAAACAAGTGCTACCAGATGACTAATGTTAGCAAGAATACAGGATTTTCTTTTATGCCTTGTCTGCAGACTCAGACAGCTGTGTTCAGGCAATCTAGTTATACTAACAGAAGGTACTGTCCTCCCGTCCTGGCAGGCCAAACTGACCCCAGATGGAGATTTTAATCTTCTTCTCAAGGCTGGCAGAAGAAATTACATGTCAGTGGTTTGAGTTCAGAGTCTGACATCTCACTGTAAATTGCTAATGAGAAGAGTCAGGAGCAAAGGCAATCTGAAAGGTAATCTCAGGGAAATCAGACTTGCAGCATCTTTCATAAAAAACTGCATCTTGATGGTGTAGCTGTGACAGTCCAGGTATAATCAATTAACTGAAGTCACAGATACTCACATCCATATTCCATTTTCCTAAGCCTTGTAGAGCAACCAGCCAAAGGGAAGTGACAGACAGCTGGGTTCTAATAGATAAGTCAAACAACTGTTTGCCTGAGTTATGGGTTTTAAGGCCTTTGGATTCTGGGCTTTGTATGGAAGCAGCTGCAGCAGGAGCACATGTCCCTTATGCCAGCCTTGCTATGGCAGCAGTAGGAGCTCCTCTGACAGGTGAAGCAGGCAGCTGTATTTGTTAAACCACCACTAAGATTTGACACATTGGATCTGTCAACAATCCCAAAATACTAAGTCAATATTAACTTTATTTAGTGCATATCAGAAAGCAGCTGGTGTGGTACCCATAATTCCATTACAGAAAAAAACCAATAAAAATAAGGAAGTTTGTTAACATAAAAATACATTTTGTTTGGGGGAGGAAGTAATATACAATGGTATCACTGTTCTTGTTCTCCAGTTTTCCTCTGCATCTAAGTGGTTTGTAGCTCCAGTGTCAATGGGCATAAATCTATTTCTTATGTTCTGTGCCTCATTTGACTTCACAATGGTGATGAAAAAGAATGGATTGAGCAATCATTAAGAAGAAAAAAAGAACAACTCATGAAAGGGCAGCAAAAATCTCTGATACTCTCTAGTTGCATGTTCTAGTCTACTTACAGGCAGAGTCACTGTGCTTACAGCTTCATGTATTGATCTATTTTAATTAATCCAGATATTGCTGGGATGCCTGTTCCTCTTTTTCTCAGGAGTTCTCTATTTGGCTGATGATCCAAGCATTTATCAAAACCTGACAAGCTCCTTCCAAAACTCAGTACCCAGAGATAATAAGATATGTGAGTGCTAATCTACAACTGCAAAGGGTCCTGTACAAAGCAGAAACATCTGGCAAGTGCAAAATACAGAAGAGCTACAGTAATTTGGCTTCAATTGCAAGTTTCTGAAAAAAGTCCTGATTACATACTTGGAAATTTTCCCTTTAATAGGCTTATTTTCTTGTTGAATGTATTAGAAAGAGAAGTTTTCTTAGGATATAATTAAATGCATTAAATAGCAGTTTTCTTTTAGTTTATTCTTAGTATTCTGCACAAAATATAAGAATCTGAGTTATATGTAATTAGATAATTATTTCACCTGAACATGCTAACCTCTTGAAACACATTTTGAGTCATTCTAAATTCTGGTGATATTCTAGGAATTTCTTTTATGTACATGCTGTTGTGAGAGTGTGGGACTTATAAAATTCTGTGACTCCTTTAGTACTGTGAACTCCTGTCTATGGATATGGATTAGGCAACATAGCTTAGCCTCTCTGAGTAGGTGACCTCAAGGGGAAGCAGATTAAGATATAATAATTAATACTTTCTTAAGGCACCTCAGTTTCTAAAGCATCTCAAATACAGACCTGAAGATGAGATCCTGCCTAAATTAAACAAACATAGATGTAACTGAATAATTTAATTGAGAAAGTCACAGTCTTTGACTCTTGAAGGTGTACAGGATGAGAAGGAGTTAGGTTTGACTTTTAGCTTTTGGGATTTTATTCCCAGTGACTGCTGGGTACCTTTGAAGTCCTGCAAAAAGAAGTGTAGATGAAGGCCAGGAAATGGTGAGAAGCACAAACATTTTACCTTCCCTCCCCTTCACGTCCACTCCCTATTCATCCTTTCTTCACATAACCTGTTTTCCCACTTCTTATCTGTGCTTATTTTGTCATGTCTCCTCAAGTTTATTAACAGGTTTCTCTTTCCAGTCCTGTTCTATTTTGATTGCAAAATCTGCATTTTTGAGGATAAAAAGTTAATGAGGAAAGAAAGGCGATTTGTGGGTTAAAAAGCCATTTTGCTTTTCCTTACATTGCTTTATGTTTAGAGAACTACCCACCTCATTCAAGCGCCTTCAAAATAAGTCTTCTAAACAGATTACACCTCTATGCTCAAAGAAAAAAGAATGTTTTCAGCTCTATCATATTGCATTTTGGCAGACCTTAAATACAATTTTAATCTAGCTGTGAACCCAGGTCAAGCACAGATTATAAAGCTTAAAAAATAAGGAGAAATCTGCAAAAGAAATGTCTGATTTCAGCTTCATAAAGACCTGTCTGTACCTTACATGTTATACTGATACTGTTTTTTCCTGCACAACTTCTTTCAGGTAATTTGTTGCAGGTTACTCCATTAAATTTCTGTGTAGCATCTCTATTAATTGAGGTCATAGCAGAATAAACATTTTGTGTCAATAAAAAGGCTGACAGTTGTCAGCCTCCCTCGATTGTCCATTCCCCTTTCTGCACTTTCTTCCCCCACCTTGTGCTAATACAAAAGTTGTCATTTCTGCTGTCCATGCAGAAAATCAGAAAGGAGAATCAGCTGTTTTTCAAACTTAAACTGTTGAATGACTGTCTTGGCCCATAGTAAGAAGTCAAATATCTGACTAAGCAATTTAGTGCTATTAGATTTGTATTCTGGAATACAGAGTCTAAATATAAAATGGAGACAGAATTATGTGGGCTGAGGGCAACACACAAAAATGATCTTTGCAAATAAGGGTGTCTGCCAGGAAAGTGTTTCTTGCCTACAATCATTAGGCAGTGGAGAACTATTTTTAGAAGATTTGCTTGTCATTGCTCTGTACTATATATAAACAGCATTAAAGTCTATTCCTTACAAAAGATAAAGGCAAGTTTTGTTCTAGAGATGTGGATTTTTCTCTTGTTCTTTGAAGATTATCTCAAATCTTTCCTTTCTTTTCTGCCTTCCATTCCTCTTGAAATTGTACTAGCCATCTCACCTTTCTCACTGAGCCACTCGATGGCATGCAGAGAATGCTTTCTTTCTAACCTTTCCTCAGCAAAGCACACAATGACAAGCTTTGTCTTTGCAAGCTAGGAAAATGGTGTAGGGATGATGATGTAAGAATGTTAGTCTAGTTCCCTGCTGTTTAACAGTCAGCTTTAATGAAGCCTTAAATTTGAAATGCATAGATCAGCATTTCTGATGTGACCCTTATAGCTGCTGGAGATTCACAAGTGCCTCTACTCTGGTGCTATGTCCTGCTCTCCTTATTGGGTTCTGCTTCATGG